CGCTGAGTGCATTACCTCACTGACGGACTAGAAAGTGTAACACAAGTATCTCACCCCACGTCAATCCCCCGCCCCTGCTGTATTCTTGTATCGGATAACAGGAGAGTAACTAAGCCTTGCTCGGTGTCAATGCTGATTTCACACAAACCACTTGGGAGCGGCCCGTCTGCTGAATTCACAGTATATGAACATGTATCCTGGGGACTACCGGGGACTACAGGGGTTGGGTGGTGATTGCCAGTCTGTCTAAATCCATTGAAATCGGAGTCCTGTTTTATTGGGTTCATAATTCGTGGCATTGGTGGGGGAGCTTTTTCCTCGCCTGTTTCTCATGACAAGGAAGGCCAGTGTTGGTGACCTTCTCTGAGTGTTTGCTGGGATGAACCCTGCTGTTCACAAACCAGATGGCCCATTATTCGGTTGGGTATTCTCACCGTCTGGGAACTGGTGCGGATCCCGAGGAAAGAGAGGCTATTTTTGTGCCTCTTGGAGAATGAGGGGAGTCCATTTCTTGGGCTGGTCAGAGTTGCATGACTACAGGTGGCGACGGAAGAAACTGCTTCTGAAAATTGGCTTGATCGAAGATCGAAATTGAATTGTTCTCTAGACTTTGTTGCCTCAGGTGAAGTCTCTCAGGAACAAGAAAACTAGCTCGGGTACAGGCTCATTTTGGACTGAAGTGTGGAGCACCAAAGGGCAGAAGAAACATACCAGGCATACACACTGAGGTTTCATTCAGGATTTCAAACCCAATGTAACCAGGGGTTTAAGATTTGGAATAAGTTGCAATTTATGCAGAAGTAACCCGGCACTAATGTAGCAAGCAGTCACAGACGATCACAGACAGATTTCAGTATCACTCTGTTTATAGATGGGTCTGCTCTGTCTAACAAATCAGCCACTAGACATGTGGTATTTCTTATGTTTCAAGATGTTTTCCCCAAGTGGAGGGACTTTGGACTTGTCCAAATCATTGTTCATTAAGTCCAGTTGCGTCGGAGCACATTTAATATGCATGCATATGTGGATGCTTGTTCCTTTTATTAGAAAAAAAAAACGGTCTTTCAGCCCACTGCATTCATGTGTTGTGGGTGCGGCAGGCACACGGCGCTATTCAACCTCAAATAGCTTGGGTTACAGTTGACAATGGCATGCCCCGATGGAAAGCGCCCCCGTGAAGAGGTGAAAATGAATTTCACGGTGTGAGCTGGGAGTGTACATGTACTGGCTGTCGTGTGCTGTACTCACAGGACAATACGGCCGTTTCACAGTAGGGCGCCACCGAGAGTTTGCAATGCGTTGGCCAATCACAATGCTCGAAATTTGTCGACCCTTTCTAAACGCGCATCGGGTCGACAACTTTCGCGCGTTGTGATTGGCCAACGCGTTGCAAACTCTTGGCGGCGCACTATTGTGAAACGGCCGTATTATGCTTCTGTTTGGATCAGGGTTATAATGAATGCCTACATGGACATGTAGGTCCACATACACAGGTTGCTCGCCGTACATGTACATGTACATTCATGTGTAATCCACAGACTGAGTTTGAAGTGTGTAGGCCTACCCACACCACCGTAAACTAATACATATGTACGTACCATCTGAAGCGTTGTTGATGAGTTACATGTATCTGTACATTGTAAATATTGAGAAGCACAAATACATGGACACTTTTTGGAGTATTGTTTCCATGTTCTCTTGTGCTGGTTATGTCTGAGCACGGAGGAATAAGAACACGGATTCACAGTTTTTGTGTCTGATTTGAGTCGGAGTATTGTGCCAAAGTTTTATATTTTTGACAATCTGAGGACCTTGCTATTAAGCATAGAGTAATGCTCAAGATCTTGCCTAAGTTTGTACCGGTATACAGTGCATTCCATACATGTGTGGGCAACTTTACATGACTATGTGCACTGTACATACACATGTAGATTGCCATGTCTTTATGAACTCACATTGCAGACACTACCACAAGCCTAGAGGTTGGTTGAAACCAAAATGGACGCATGAGAGAACCAGACATCTTCACATGTACATGAACATCATAATTGATATGATTAATGGACACCTTTCATGCTGAAGTAACCTCCACCAAGGAATATTCATGTCAGTACAAGGACAGCGCATGTGTAATCCCCAGCAATTTATCACCCGCTGCTGTCACATGCTCGCCAAGCGTTGCAGCATTTGACATGAACCTGCAATATAAAACTCAATTGTTACCCCACCTGGGTCAGATTATGACCTTTGCAACCCAAGGAGGTGTCTGTTGTTGGATCTGGGCCGCACCTGTGGCAGAAGTTGCCTTCATCCCCAGGCTCAGGTGCGGGGTACCAAAAATAATAACACCAAGTTACAAATTTTATGCTCCAGGAGGTTTTGGCATTTCATTTCTTAGGCTGGCCTATATCCTGTCTGCAGTTACTCCAACAATCACCCCCCCCCCATCATTATTACTGTAATGGTATTGCCCGTTGACTGATGTGAACAATGGTAAGGGCCAGACACCAGAAGACAATAGGTCTTAAAACTTATACAAACATCTGGAAATGTTTGGGGTCAGCGGCAATACAGGCTGGGCTATTGTGAACCTGACCTTGTGCTATGTGCTAAGAGAACAAATTGAAAGTTGATTTCTGTGAGAACCACTTCCAACGAGCCCCGCTGTAGTTGTCGTAAATAGAAAGGCAGGGTACATTCGGGATAAGGCTAGGGATCTCCAGTACAGTTAAAGTTGAACAGTAAGTAATCCAAACGGGAGAGTTTGAGTGACATGCAGCCTTGTAGATCTCCTTCCTTTGTTCCTATGAGCAGGTTCCAGGTTCTATAAGGCCAAACCAAAAACAACTGTGTTTCCTGTTACCCGACCCAACCTACATGTAGAAAATCATGCGAAACCTTAATTCAACAAATCAATCAAATATAAAAACTTATGGTGCCTTGCCCTGAGCCTAATTTTGTTTACAACATCCTGTACATTGTATTGTTTTAATTTTTTGGCAAGAGATGGACGGCTCTCCTGTGTTTGTATTTCAACAACCAGCTGCTTTACTACTCAATCACAGTGCTGATATGTAATATTGACGTGCACATGTACAGTATGAATCTGACACTGATTTAGTACCTGTTACCAATATAGGCGCCTCCCCCCAATACAGACCATCATCCCACCCTAATTGTTTGGGCTATAAAAATTTAGAGTAAAATAAAACCATTTTACCCAACCAACCACCCTAATTTAATAGGAAACACAACTAATTTTTTGTTTGGCCTAACCTGATCACTGTCTTGTCCTGCCACATTTTTTGGTCAAGAGTTTGATCCCCTGTTGAATTTGCTTTGCAAGTTCCCATTGTATTGTCGTCTTCTGATGATTATAAACATGAAACTGGACAAGTCTGTGATTGCTTGAAGGTCTGCATGAATTTCAGTGTTTCTTATTCTACTCTTGGTCATTTGGATGGGGAAAACCCACAAGAATTTTACATCGCTTGTCTTTATGGTGTCACGCATGGCATAAAAGGGATCCAAGTTCTTTTCAACAGGTTACGAATTACAAGGCTCTAGTGATTATTGTAATTTATGTCTGGAAATCTAATTGAACAATGCTTCTCTTTTCCTCAAGAACATGTCTTCACTGGCCTGCCAGAATTTCCCCTTTGATGTAGAGATAACTATTTTGACTAATCCACTTTTGCTTTCCCGGACATTTGTGGCTGGAAATAAATATTGAAGTTAAAGTGCAGGGCAGCTGTGATGTTCTTTGAAAAATGAGGCTGATCGGTAACAAAGACCTGTGTGCACTTATCTGCTCTTAGTAAAAAGTAAAGCTACCACCAACAAGGTTGGGGATAGATCTGAAACTTTGCAGGAGTGGACCTTCAAGTGGTCAAAGGGTAAAGGTGTACCCATGTTTGTTTCTTTTAGGTTCACCAAATACCCAGGGCCTTTCCCATTAATCAGAAGGTCGTAAACCAGTACCTACATTGTGCATGTACCACTTGATAAATATGTCCTTACATTACAACCTGCAAGTAGCTCACACTTGAGGAGCTTCCATTTTGATAAACTGTAGTCATGGTGACAGAGCGTTTTAGTACAAGTCAGTGATCCACGTCATGTAAACCCGTTTAATCTGTAATGGCAATTACTTTTTTAACGTTTGACCAATTGCAGAAACTGTTATACACCCACATTTCAGTCATGACAAACATGTTTTCATTGCAATAAACTCTGTGATTGATATCAGTAGGAGGTTTCCTATCAATCGGAAGTTTGTCCAATGCTAATAACGGTTTAAAGTCCACTCATTTAGATTTCATAGTGTAGCAAACACCATGTAAACTCTCTAACAGGTGCACCCGGGCTTGTGGGAGCTGTAGCAATGTTTCCTACTGAGCCACTGCGATAGTTTCCCTTGGGTCTAAATCAAAACCATATGTCCACGCTATGAAATCATTCATATTATGGGAAAAATATAATCCAATGCTTTTATCTTTTCTGTTTATTTTCTGAACAACAAGTCCTTTTGATATTAGTTTTAGTTTTAAAGCTTGAGGTGTAATACCTTATGCCTTGGAGCGTGGTTTTTATCTCAAGTCTTGCACTTTCACTCTTGGCAAGTTTTTACAGCGCCTAGTTTGAAATATAAATGGACGCTTTGTTTCTGATGATTCTTTTATGCAGGCTTAACTATTTTGTTTTGGCCACAGTACACTTTCGGTCAAAGGTATTTGACAAGCTGAGCTTTTCTGTTTTGGCCACAAAGTGTACTTTCAGTTATTTGTTTCCTTTGTTTATATTAATACCCTTTCTAATTTCTTACTTGTGTTTAAGAAAAATTCAAAGTGAAAAGTACATATATCATATACAAAACAAAAACTAGAGCCTTTGCTTTGTGTTGAAGTTGGCAAAAGTCATTTCTGGAATGCAGTTGATCTTTTTCTCTTTTCTGTAAATTCCATCAGAAATGAATGACAGAATTTGTTGTTCTTGTACAGGTGCTACCAAGGATCTGGGTGCCTCGCTAACGAGAATGTGTATCAGACATAAGACCATTGAACTCAAACTCAAGTCTTTCACCAAGTAAGTGACTCGCTGATGGTCAGGATGCCTTGTCTTTTTATTCAGGCAAATCCATAGAGAGAGCCGACATAAAACAGAGCCACGATTGCCACACTTTTTTTCATAAAGCCACTTTTTTATGTTGGGACATTTTAGCCCATACATCTAGGTCAGTTTTGTTTGTTTTTAAATATGAAATATGCATTTAAGACCAGCTCTGGAGAAGGAATGCAACTAATGCCAGAGCCGCATCGTTCGGTCACCTGAGCTGGTCTTAAACATTAGTTTAAGACCAGCCAAGAACATACATTTATTCCCATTCATTAATACCGTTTTAGTCAGAGAGTCAAAAGAAGTCAATATATAATGGATTTCCAGCAATTTTGATCTGGAATGTTACTTTCCTTTTCCCAAACACCCCCGTCCATTTTATGGAATATTCCTTGTGCAAATTGTCCAATTGGGGTGCGAGTGGAGAGCCCCATGCTCACAGACGCTTGACCAATCAGACAGTAGGGTAAAGTGCCCTTAATCCAGATGCCAGCATGTGATTTACGCAGCGAGCATTGTCATTTCTCATTGGGCATTATCAAGTGTTACACAATCAAGTTACACGTTGTTGAATAGGGAGACTGTCTGAAGTATTTATGAATTTTCAGCAACTTAGTTGACACCAAAGATCGTATCGCGGCGCAAGATGGCAAACTTCACCGCGAATACACATAAAACATTGTAATGGCATGGGTGCCATTTGAGTAAGCGATACGCCTGCGCATTGCGCAGGCGCTGCGGCAGCCACGTGCACCTGGTGAGCCTGCGCCGAAGCATTACCGTAAACTGCGCAGGCGTATCGCTTGCTCAAATGGCGCCCATGGTAATTACACCCTTTGGGCAGAGTTATCCATCTTGCGCCTTCGGCGCTATACGATCTTTGGTTAACACTCCCCATAACTTTACCCATATGCACACCAGGTGACCATGGAAACGAGCATGAAGAAGTTTTGATGGCTCCCTTAGCTAATGTCAGTGGAAAGTTTTAACCCAAACTCGATATACACCACGTAGGATTTGTCATTACTATGAGAGCATAATTTTACAGAGTCCATGAATGTCATAATAACTCACATTATAGATGTTGATGATCCTACCAAATGTATCTCTTTCTCCTTTGACCCCCTCATCAGTGCCATCATGGAGTGTCTGGTGAATCCACTTCAGGAGCGCATGGAAGACTGGAAAAAAATCACTACGCAACTGGACAAAGAGCACGCCAAAGGTAGCCATGGTTACAAGTGACTCCCTCTTCCCCATCCTTGAAAGCCTTGTCTTCCTTGTTTGTTTGAAACAGGCGTGTACCCATGAAAGCCATTGGCTAGTAGCTGCAACCATTTCCCATAGATCTTCTTTGAACCTTATGCCCTCCCTGTCACAGTGACAATGAGACCGAATCTTGAAGTCTTTCATCACTGTATAAATCAGGCTTGAAATGTGATACAAATGATGTGCAGATAGACATGCTCAGCACTTTGACTGTTCAGGATAGCTAAACCGGTCACTGCCTTTATGAATAATTCTGATCTGAAGAGAACGAGAGAAAAGCCATCCATCCTTGCCCAGAATGGGTATCCCCTGTCTTTGTACAGTTGCCCACAGGGGATGTGGTGTGATGTGATAAAGAAAATTGCACAGGTGGATGAATTGATGGAGATGGGAGCTACATGTCGTGATCTGGGTAGGGGGCTGTCACTGCACCCTGCCCGGCCACAACAGACAGGCAAGAAGGCAGTTCCCTTGATGGCCATTAGTGAGTCTGGGAGCAAGCTCTGGCCCATCCTGATGAAGATATCACAGCCTGTGTCATGGCTCGCACCTCCCCCCCTCCCACGGGCGGGCGTGTTCATGTTCCAGAAGATTAAGTGGTTTATGTCATTCTGGCTGAAAACAGCACCTGCAAAATCACAGCCAGGAAAAATAATAAGCCCACGCATTTCAAAGAAATATTTTTGCCCCTTGGCTAGGAAAGAATTACAAAGTAGCATTTTTCTGTTTCAGTTCAGATAACCAGAATTTGTCTCCTGAGACATACGTGTACATGTATCGGCATAAGTGTAATTGTTATCCCTAAAGGGCCTAAAAGCAACACAAACACGAACTTGTGACGTCAGGTCAAATATTTGCCGTGTGAATTGGCAAAAAGTAAATCCCTTTCAACTCGGTGACATTTTGCTGCAAATCTTTTGTGATGTCAAATCTCCTTTGCACTCCGCATTGGCCTGTAGGGTGAATTAGCCTGAAGGTGTGTGAAAAACCATGTGAAAATTGACAGATCAGGACTTATTCGATTAAGAAATGGTTGAAGCAATCACAGATGTCAATGGAGTGGTTGCGCATGTGTAAAGAGCTAGCAGATGGCGCTGCGCTCAAAAAAGAAAATCAGATGTCAGAGAATGATTGGCTTGTTTCTGCAGATTGAAGTCCCATGTACGTGCACACCTGGGCATGCTGTTAAAATAACTAGCATTTAGGAAGTCGTTTGGTATTCAGTGCTACACATCACAATGCAAGGCCATTACATCGTCTCAAAATGGTTATATCATTTGCAAATATGCATTATGCATTCAGCTTGCAGATGGGGCGCAATCAGTGCTTTATGGGGGTCATGTACTTTGGGGCCTAGCAGAATTACCCCCCCCCTGCGTTTGGCACAGTTCCCTCTATCTGACTTCCATGAAGCTGTTCAGTGCAGAGGGTGCTCAAACGTTGATACACGGAGAAAACAGTCCGAATGTATGAATTGGCTTTTGGGGATAACATTAATGCCTCAACATTCACTAGGTCAACATGCTGGCATCCAGAAAGTGGGGAAAAAATCAGGTTGAAGATTGCCAGTTGGGCAGACTTTGAAAAATGTCATTGTTTTTTCATCATTTGAGATTTGAAGTACAGGCCTAAAATTATTCAATAATGCATTGTCACACCTTCACATTTGATAAAAGACTTCTTAATTTTCTAAAGAGGCAAGCATGACTGAAAAAGTCTAAAATAATTTTCGAGAGACTCAAGTGCATCAATCAGCATTTAGGTTTTCAACAAAACTCACTGGACCACTCAAGTGTAACACCTTCTCTGCAAAATTTGACGTTGCGAAGAGATATTTATGCACAAGGTGCTCGCGTGTAATTCTTTTCCTTTGCAGCGAGCAGACTATGTCTGATGGATTCGATGATTTCAAAAAGTCACAAACAGAGGCTGTGTCTCTGCTGTCTATCTCTCGTCAATTCCGTTTGGAGTTTGTACCCAATTGATTGGCCCATGGCGGCGTCAATGCCACGCAGGGTCGCTGCAGTTGAAAGCAACATGGTCCCTAATCCAGGTGCTTTGCTGGGCAAATCAAATCCAATCTGCTTAGAAATTAATCTGGTCTTTGATTCTGTGGACTGCGGGGAGGGGAATAATGACAGTCATGTTGACGTGACAGTTTGTCCTCATAGGGGTCAGCGGGTGTTAAATGTGTCATCTATTGTCCTTGTGACTTTGCTGGATTTTACGTCATGTGGATACCAGGTTTATGCAGAACTGGTATCATCAAATTGGTAACTTGACCTGTATATCACACATTTAATCTTTTTTTTTTATAAATCCATGTGATTGTGTCAAAATACACTGACATACCGGTGTATGTCAGTGTATATTGAAATTGCAGAAGTTGTCAATCTCTGTGTATTCATTGCTTTATCCCGTTCGTAAGTGTGACATCACTTTATTTTAAACCACGCCCACTGCACACTTGCAGTGCACATAGGGTTACATGCATTGATCGCCGCTTACATGGAACCGGAAGTTAACACGCAACTTCAGTGATTGTCCACTGAGAGCCTGCAAATCTTGGCGCATCCGCCTTTGTGACGAAGTCACTTACGAACTGGATAGGGAAAAAACTTAGTATTTATGCCGCAGATTTAGGTACACTAAAACGCTTTTTTTATTTCATTAGTCCAACACAAGCAGATTCAAAATGGCTACCCTTTTACTGTTTGTTGGAAATTTAGCGTCATCTCCAGCACTTTCTTATCTGCTTCTCTCTCTGCTTTTTAAATAGATTACAAGAAAGCCAGACAGGATATCAAGAAGAAGTCGTCCGATACTGTGAGACTGCAGAAGAAAGCCAGAAAAGGTACCGAATACACGAGAGTAAAGCTTTGAGTGTATCATCAGTCAGGAACATACATGTATTTGTCTCAGGCCGTGAAGTTTGTTGCACATTTACAATAACTTCCATTTCTTCCACTGTTGGGGTCCGCACAAAAGCCAGCCGTTTCCAACACCAACAACTGGTGCTTTATAGAAATTTACATTTTTCACTTGTCAAGCATGGTCTGCCAGCTGTCTTAAAGATGTTATCACAGCATATGTATCAGAGTACAGAAACCAGACTGTATACTTTAAACCAATCACATTGCAGCATGTGAGTATGACTAGACCAACAGCCCTTGGGCAACAAATTGCCATATATCCTATTTCGAGACAGATATTAAAGGAAGTTGACAGTGCCTCGGGACATCACAGGTCAGGCAGTCATAGGTCAATCTCACATGTGTTTCCAAGCCAACATCCTTTCCGTTTCATCAACTGATTTAAACTGGAAATAGCTCGCTGAGCAGAAGTAACCTTAGTTGAAACAGGTGTTAAAGATGTTGAACAGGGCATGTTGACTTTTACATGGCTACCTCTGATGTGGTTCAGAACATGAGCATGATGAATAAAGTGGACATGACTCAGAAAGAAAATCACTTAATCAATAAGGGGGGGGATGTACGAGCAGCGTACGCCCCACACTTCCTAGTCTCCGTGTGCGGTTTGCAGAAGTTGTGATTGAGGTTTGTGTGGGTAAGTATCCTGTGTCATCATCAATGTAGATCCACACATACTTAATTCTCAAAGGGCCACTCATCCAGCGTCCAGGGTAGGAGCCGATGATTGTGGGTACCGGGCTTGTTGCGGGAAGCAAGAAGAATGATGTATGAGCATCTGCGGCATCAGCCGACACGATTTCATGTATTGCTGCGGTGTGCCGTAACTCATGCTGCAACCAGCCAGTCGAGTCATGATCATATTTTGAACCACTGCTTGCTAAGGGCCATTGCTCAAAATATACGACGTGTTTGATTTTTGCCATCTCTAGGCAGCTGCGTCATTGCCTCTCGTCATTGCAACTGATGTGTACTGTGTTGTTTCAAAGCCTTTTTAATCATGCAACGAGTATGGTCTTGTAGGCTGTTTACAAACTGAAGGCAAGAGAAATCAAAAGCCATATTTTAAACCTTTACTCTGTCTTAGGATTCTTACATATACATTGTATATATATCTGTTGAGACAATGGCTGAGGAGATATACAGTTGAATGTGGCTATAAAAACCTCCTGATATACAGAATCTTTGGCTATACATATACTTAACATTTTGCTCTGAATTTTACATCACGTTGCTGGAACAATGCCAATTTTTTTTTGTTCTGAAATGCATCTCATGACATCAGTGTTTTCCTCGTTCTTAAATCCTGCTTGACTGCCTCCATCAGGCAAGGAGGACTCGACAATAAAACACCACAATGAAACACTAAGTATGAGGAAACTAAGCATTGACTATTCATGTTTCACTCATGTTTATTCATTGGCATGTGTCCATTTCAAACTGAGCCACTGCACGGGGTCTCTACTGGTTGTGGTCCCATTCATTCAGTTGTCCGCGCAATTTCATTCACTCTGTGTAATCGTTTGATTCATTCTGCTTGGTCGTTGCTGTTTGTGGCAGATTTGTTGAAACATTTTAAGGTGTTTGGCAGAAGGGGAGAGTGTCTTCTTGCCAAAAAATGCATCTCGGTTGCAATTGTCCTAAAGATTAGGGATTGGTTCACTCACACAAACCTACAATCATACCAGTACCTGAATGTAATGTAGCAGAAGTGTCTTCTATGGCCAACAACTGTTTGTGCACGTGGCGTGATGTTTGCATAGAAATCAGTCCGCACACTCTACCAAAATGTCCCCTCACCTGTCTGCCATTTATGGGCCACAGAGTGCCCCCAGCAGATAGCACGCACACAGGAAAAGCTGTCAAAGGACCTTCCAGCTGACCGCTGTCCATACCCAGTAACCTCAACAGAAATCACCATGGTAATCCTTACAATGGGACAGTTCAGTGGGCAAACCGAATGAGGCATTTCTCTGTCGATTCAGTCGTGCCGTGAACATCGATGGTGAATTGTTTTTATTACGAACGATGGGACCGGAACCACCTGCCAATTCTGCACAGCTGTAGGCACCCACTGGTTGGCCGTAGGAGTCCAAACAAAAGACGAAAGATAGTACAACCAACCTGTCTCTACCGACCGTTTATAAACCTAATGTTTGATTGGGCTGAACTACTTTTCTGAACATGATACTTTCTGTTTTGCACCACTTCACGGAGTCTCTCTGTATTATGCTGTCTGTATTTGTAGAAAGTTTTTTTCTATCTATTTCTGTTTATTTGTTTTTGAAGCATGTTGTGAAAGTCTTGAAGCTCAACCTTTAGACATTATATCTCTTTATTTGGATCCTTTCAGCCAGTCTGTCATGTTGATTTGATTGTTGAGTTTCTAGAGGGCCACAAGTTGTCTGCATGCGGTTTGTGACAATGAATCCTTTCTTGTCTTCGAAATCAGCACTGTGGCATTTTAGCACCTCTTATTTTTTGTCACTTGTGGGGTCCAGTTTAAGCACTATACATGTATATATAACGGGTTTGCCCTTACCCAACGTACTCCCATTCGAGTGGTTAAGACATCTGCACTAGTAAGCAGGAGGTCGTGGGTTCGAGTCCCACCCGAGTAAGCTTG